AATATTCATTATAGCTCGAGCGGGGCAGGTCGAGGATTTCATTCAGAGCAATTCACGAAATCAGGTTGTTTGGGTTTTGAGACGATACACAACAGTCTTAAATTTTAAATTTTGAACTGGGGGCGATAGGAAGGGGTGGTCTAAGAGAGCTCTAGCAGGATGATCGAAACACAACAGACATAAGTTCAAATTTTCAAATTCAAGACTTCAGGGAGTGGCTATTCAGTTCTTGTTTTTCAACCCCATCGGTGATTACTCGGTTTTTGGGTTCTCGACCTCAACGGTCTTTCGACGCTCGGTTTTCGACCTCCGCGGTCTCGACCTTCAGTTTTTGACCTCCGTGGTCTCGACGCTCGGTTTTTTACCTCCACGGTCTCGACGCTCGGTTTTTGACCTCCACGGTCTCGACGCTCGATATTCGACCTGCGCGGTCTCGACTCTCGGTTTTCGACCTCCACGGTCTCGACTCTCGATATTCGACCTCAGCGGTCTCGACGCTCGGTTTTCGACCTCCACGGTCTCGACTCTCGATCTTCGACCTCAACGGTCTTTCGACGCTCGGTTTTCGACCTCCGCGGTCTCGACTCTCGAAATTCGACCTCCGCGGTCTCGACTCTGGGTTTTCGACCTCCACGGTCTCGACTCTCGATATTCGGCATCCGCGGTCTCGACTCTCGGTTTTTGACCTCCACGGTCTCGGCGCTCGGTTTTCGACTTCCGCGGTCTCGACGCTCGATTTTCTACCTCAGCGGTCTCGACGCTCGGTTTTCGACATCCACGGTCTCGACGCTCGATATTCGACCTTCGCGGTCTCGACCCTCGGTTTTCGACCTCCGCGGTCTCGACGCTCGGTTTTCGACCTCATGGGTCTCGACGCTCGGTATTCGACCTCCGCGGTCTCGACTCTCGGTTTTCGACCTCCACGGTCTCGACCCTCGATATTCGACCTTCGCGGTCTCGACTCTCGGTTTTCGACCTCCACGGTCTCGACGCTCGGTTTTCGTCCTCCGCGGCCTCGACTCTCGATCTTCGACCTCAACGGTCTTTCGACGCTTGGTTTTTGACCTCTGCGGTCCCGACTCTCGATATTCGACCTCCGCGGTCTCGACGCTCGATATTCGACCTTCGCGCTCTCGACTCTCAGTTTTCGACCTCCACGGTCTCGGCACTCGGTCTTCAACCTCCGCCGTCTCGACTCTCGGTTTTCGACCTCAGTGGACGTTCGACTTCTGGTGTTCGACTTCAGTGGCAAATCATTAGGTTCTTGCCCTTATTGACAAATCTTTCGATTTTCGACCCCGACGTCAGATCATTCAGTTTTCGACCACCGTGGTCTTTCGGTTTTCGATCTCGAGATCTCAAAGCTCATTTGGAGGGTATTTTCAGTGGTTATTCAATGGTCATTTGACTTTCGATGCTCGATCTTAGTGGCAAGTGGAAGAAAGCAGCTCGAAGAGGCATTTCACTCTTGGATCGAGTTATGCTTACTCGACCAGAGTGGGGGGACTAGATGATATAGGATATTATACTGGACCCGGTTTATAGATAAAGCGGATACATATTGGAGGATAAACCCACTAAGACATCTAAGCCCAACTTGGGCCCAAAAGGTACACTCCCCCTATAAAAGAGGCCAAGGTACCTCACTCACTCATTCTCTCCTCATTACATTACTACACTTTCTCTCTCTTGATCTGAGCACTGACTTAAGTATCGGAGGCCCGACGTCGGGGCCACCCCCGGCGTTGGATTCTACAGGTACGGAGACCGGTTCGAGTTGAAGGAGTCCGAGTGAATCTTATTCACTTCAATCATATTATTACTTAATATAATATTTTGAAGAATAGAATTTCATATTATCTTAAATAATTATATAATATTTAAATAAAAAATATTTTTTGTATTGCACATAGTGCGATCAACACTAGTATTATAAATTGTTAAAATCTACCGCTTTAGATTAATACACTTGTTTATTAAGTTATGAATAATCCCATGAAGCTCAGACTACCCAATTTATCAAGGCTATACAAATTTCGACTATTTCCCAAGAATCCATGAGAAAACAGAGTTAAATAGAGAACAACAAAGTAGATTGGATGTTTAGAAACACATCACTTGGCATCTAAGACGATAGCAATAAATCCAGTATCAACAAATCCAGTATCAACGCATAAGCATTTGAAATCATACACAATAAGATGACCAAAAGCAATTTAAAAACCACCAAGAGCTCTATGCAGAGACTCGGTCTATGATACTAATTTTATCTGGGGTTGGTAGCTAATAATGATAAAATACAATAATAAACTATCCGCAAAGACAATCACCATACATAATCTTTTCCACATATCTGCTCTGGCCAAATTTCCGGGACAAGCTCCCACAATAATTGCACGTTTGGAAGCATAAAAATGAAAGGTTGCTTCCTGTTACAAGACAAGGAGAAGGCAACATGTTAGTTACAAACAACAAATGTTCATATTTTCCAGGAGAGCTCTTAGAAGGAGAAAGTAGTTTTGACACAAAAGTTGGAGCTCCGTTCAAGTATAAGTTAGAAGATTCGGGAATATATTGAGCTACCGAACAAGTTCAGAACCGGAATTACTGTTCTAACAGGTATGCGAACACTTGTTAAGAGATGCGAAGACGATCAACATAATAGGAGAAACACTACTAAATGCCCATTGAATTTATGACTAAACAAGGAATTATTCCCCACATCTCTTCCAAAAAGTTTCTGCCCCAAAGCCAGATCAATAGGTACAAATTTCGTAGGTCAAGTTCGAAGAAGTGTTTCGCAGGACATGCATATATCCCACATATTTAATGATGCAAACATGAACAAGGATTTAGTTCCCAGATTTTATTGTGCACAGCTATGTAAGAATTTTCTCAAGAATCTAGTGATGTTGTAAATTTTAACAAAGAATCCCATCTTGAATCAAATCTAAAAGAGCAGAGTTCGGAACAAGTGGAATCCACCAAAGAACGTCACAGAATATTTTTTCAGTACAAAACAAGATTCTTTTTGGGTCAAATACCAACTTCAGCATTAAATAGTTCCAGTTGGACACCAGAAACATTCTAAAGATCTCTACATCCATTTGACAATTAAGAATACTAGAAACATAATCAAATACCAACCATTTCCAGACCGATTCCAGAAAATCATAATCAAATGTAATTATATAGAAAGAAAAAAGAAAAATGGAGGTCATAGTTTGCACAGAGAGAGAGAGAGAGAGAGAGAGACCTCAGGCAATTGAAGTGGTGGGAAGGTAAATTCTGAAGATATCTTTTGCAGTTGTCTTTCTCCTGCAAGTAGGACATTTGTTCTGGACAGCTAAAGCAGCTTTGATGCAAGCCTTGCAGAAAATATGACCACACTTTGTTGATGTCTCCTCAACTAATGCCCCCATGCATACAGGACAGCTGAATTTGGGCTCCTTTGGTGGTGGAGGTGGAGGTGGAGGTGATGGAGGCAAAGTTACAGTTTGTACACTCTTTCTCTGAATTTGAAACACGAAAATAAGCAGTCAGTCAGGAAAACCCATACCATGTGTGATAACCCCCAACCAAACAAATCAAGCAGCATCTGGAGCACTCAAAAGAATGGCACTCATCTGAACTTAAAAAAAACAAGCAAGTAAGGCGTAAAAAGTGAAGGTGATCAATGTTATATAATGCCAAGATGGTTGCAATGCACAATATATTAGCAAATGCTGCACCTATTGATCCATCGAAATCAAATTATCAAGTAAAATTTGAAAGTCGATACTACACATCTGAAGTAGTTATACGAAAAATGGTTTTGGTACTCATGCAAGTGGGTCAATTTAATTTGTTAAATAGCAAATATCGAGCACATGAACACAAACCCAAATGCAAAAACATATATTGTCTGTACAAGATAATTAGTACTGTTTAACTACATCACCTAGTAAGCCACACAGACATACATAATGGGGGAAATTTCATCCTACTGCCCTCCAGGGCCTTTTCCACAACAAGATTACACACACATGGGCCCCCACGCAGGTAGGATCGACTCTTCCCATACAAAGGGCAATCAAAAACTAAATGGTTGGTAAATTTATTGGAGGTAATCTACTGCTCGCTTCAATTTGGAAAGGCAAGCAATTAAAGACTCAATGTCCCTGCATGTAAAATGTATCTCAATCTCGTTTAATAGATAGTTTAAAAAGTAACAGTATAAAATATGCATGTTGAGCCACTTAAATCAACAGACACATTGTCCACAAAAGGTTTGTTACCTTAGAGGTGCCACTGCCATCCAAATTAATGTATAGGTCACAATTTATAATTGTTTGGTTGGTAGAAACCCTTCTGCGCTTGTAGCGGGTAGGCCTTTCATCTACAATAAAGAGGATAGTATTAACAGCAGTTTGCATCATCCAGCGAAATGATTTAAACGAGATAAGCATTGAACCAGAATCTAGGAAACATATATACAATCGATATTACCAGAATCGAGGTCCACCACAATTGTCTGTTCGCGAACCCTTCTTGAATTATTTTTGGCCTGAATGCCAAAAAAAAAAAAAGCAAAATCCACATTAGAGCAATACATACACAAAAAAACAACAATTGGACAGGAACAATAAAAGGCAGCCATGTAAAAGATGCATATACACACACAACATACTTCAGCAAATGCCCTAGGCGAAGAAATAACAACATCATCATCCAACGCCTCAACATCAATTGACGGAGGCATTGTGGAGACCCCTTGAGCCGCTTGTCTGTCCTGTGACCTAGTGTGATTCGACGGCCCCTCATGATCCCTGTTCTCACATGGTGGCACAGAATTAAGATCAACATCTAACATTCTCCTTCTACTTTTGGTCCTTGTATACCTTCTGACTTGGTCCTGGCTACTCATGATATAATGGATTCCAAGTGCCTAAATACCTAAAAATCATTCATGCAAAAACTTTCAGTCAAGACTTATATATTTATTCAGCATGTGCCGAATCTGAGGAAGAGAATGAAGTAGGAAAAACGGCAACAAGAATTCTAATTAAAATATTAATATAGATAGCTTCCCAGATGGTACACTGACCAGATGACTCACACAGAGTAGAACCTTAAACTTTGAGTTATAAATGATAAACCTCATCTACATATAACCATTGCAACTACAATTGCCCAACCTTAGGGGAAAAAAATAAAACAAAAGATAAAAGGAGGGTGCAAAACAGAGTCAGTGTTTCTCATAGATAAGCAGATCATAAAACAGACACCGCCGCAGACCATCAACCACAAGAACATGGGATAAAACATTTATTAGAGATACCAGATGGAACTGTTCAACCAGCATAGCAACTGCAATCAGTTGACAAGCAACCAGTCTCTTTGGAACTCACTGGTAAGATGAAAAGAGAAAAGTAAATAAATAATTCAGTTTTGTAAATCAAACAAGTGCTTTATGGATGATCCACACTCAATTTCTTTCCCAAAATTCAGAAATGATTAACGAACTATCAAATTCCAAATTTTTAAATCCACTAAGCAAAATCATCACCCAATTTCACAACTTTCAAAACTAAAATGAGAAATAAAAGGTTCAATAAAACCCAATTCAACAAAGCCCTAATCTTAGGAAAGAAATAAATAAATAAAAATTCAACGAAATGCAGACTCAAAAACCGCAATCAAAGATTGACGAAGCAGACATCACCAAACAATCAACAGCACCAGGAACAAATTAAACACACTGCAACTGCATTAATTCATATTTTTCCAAATGAAAAACACAAAAAAAAAACCACCGAAAAGTACATCCACACATAAAAAACGAATTGATACGCGAATCGATTTATCAAACAGAATCGCCATTTCCGGTGCGCAACAATGAAAAATCCGACCTGAATTCTTCGATAACGCAGGGTAACAGATAACCGAGCGTGTTGAAACTGGTGCCTATGCCGATGGTTTTTCAAATTGGCCGAAATAAAATCAGAAAATGAAAAAGAGACGGCTCTTTTTTTCTTATTATTATTAAAAGCCAAAGGATAGATAAGGGAAGTTAATTGCATACAGACATATATATATTTTACATTTCTCACACAAATACAGTGTAGTGTGGATTTTGTGTGAGTTGGTGGAGAAAACCAAACACGTTTTGCCGCTCGCTGACACGTGAGCAATTACGAAGCTTTGAACCAAACTAGTGCTCATCCCGGGCATTTGCACGGAGGATAATATGTAAAAAAAAAAAAATAATATAAAAATAAAAATACATAATTATAATTTAAGTCATAAAAAATTTTGAATTAAGAAATTGATTTTAAATATTATTAAATGCTTCTTTATATACAATATTTATGGTTTCGAATCAGCATCACCACATCATCATTATCTCTGAATCTTTCCGATTCGTGACTCTAGAAAGAACAATGTACAAATGTCCATGACTGAAAATATGGTTCGTCAAGACTAAGTCGGCGTGTGAGAGAGACTAGTCTTGACTCTTGTTGATCGTTATAGCATATGAGACCATGATAGAAAATTGTCTCTGCTGAAACCTGAACGGTACCCTCATACATATATGTAATAATAAAATGTGTGCCATATTTGCTATAATTGTCAGCAAATATAACATTTGGGTCAAAATTATCTAGTGAACAAATAATTATTTTATAAACAGTTGTTGAATTATGTTAGATAGCATATTTAAAAAAGGTGGTGAATTGAGCTTAAGTTTTTATAAAAAAAAAAATCTGTAAAGGTGACTTTGGCTAATATTCTCAGTAAGATTATTTGTTTAATGAGCCCGATTTGGTAAAGTCCCAAAAATAATTTTCAAATTGAATCCAATATACATTTTTTAACAAAAATAAACAATAAAAAGAATCATATAATCGTTATTGGGCCAATAAACAAATCAATATTTTTGTAGCAATAAAAAAAGGACCATTATTGATGAAAGCTCATTTCCACTTTACGGGTTTACAAAACCTGTGAACGAAAAAAGAACATCGAAAATTCTGTGTCATTCCACTCATTCTCCTATGTTGTGCATTTCTTCTTTCTTTCTCAGTAAAAAACCCAAACCTTCAGAGTTCTAGCAAAATTCTCGCCGATAAACATGCCAAATTGATGTTTGACCAGCGAGTTTTTCAGTTCAATACAACAAAAAAAAAAAAAAAAACCAAAAATTTCAAACCCAAAGGAGATCTAACAACAAAATTGTCCTGATTTTCAACATTCGTTTTACTAAATTATAGTAAAACAGTGAACAAGCGATTACAGTACATATCTATCAATATGCGAAATTTTTCTAAAGATTATGTTGTTTTTTTCTTTTATTTTTTTTAAAAAAAAATGTTTTAAGTTGAGGACTAAAGTCGAATCTTTTGGCTATTGCCCGCTTCTTAATAAATGCTTTTTGACATTTTATTTATTTTTTTCTATAAATTTTAATAATAAGAAGATTCAATGTTTATTGGTGAGACGATAATAATAATTGCAAAAGTTGAACATATCTGTAAAGAACTTGAGTTTTTTTTCTTTGGAAAACGACCGTTTATGACTAATTGCAACAAACGACCGCTCTCTGGTCCGATTTCATTAATTTTAAGGTTACTTAGAGTCATTTTTGTAAAAAATTATAACATATATAATGCAATCAAATTATACGTTTTTCTAAAATAGTCTATTAGATTCAACGCAAGTAAATAGTTTGAATTAGTAAGAATTCCTCTTGCACCAGAATCCGCCGTGTTACATTTACGTACCATTAGTGTGAATATTGGCATGTTGGGAGCGATGAAAGAAATAATGGATTAGTCTTTCTATTATTTTCTATTATCAACTGGTTGGGATCTGGGGAGTCAGTTGTACGCAGACCTTACCCTTGTAATTATACAAGGAAGCTGGTTTTGAAGAAAGAATTTGTCTGAACAAGACAATAAATGTCACAAATTTACAAAAAATAGATTTCCTAAAGGATTCGAAACATAAAAGAAAAATGATTAGATGAAAATACAAGAAATTCTTTTATGTGTTATTTGATCTATATTGATTATTTATATGATATAATTTAGGATTTTTGTGTGTGTGTGTGTGTGTTTTTTTTTTTTNNTTTTTTTTTGGCAGGTACATGTGTGAAAAGCTGGCTGAATATTCTTATGTGTGTTTCATTTGAATTTTTAATTTTAAAAATTATTTTCTTGTATGATTATTTTTACGTATCTAAAATATATAATATTAATATGATATATTAATACATCATAAAATGATTAAAAATATAAGTGGAAAATAATAGTGTTCTTGATTCTGCATATTATTTATGCCAAACCTGTCAGCCAAAGAAATCTTGTTTGATTTATGTCAGACATATCCGTTACAGATTGAGATGATTAGAGAGAAAAAAAGCGAAAAAATAAAAATAATAATTTCTTCATGATAGTCACACATTTCCATTACAATTAAAAACTTTTTGAAAAAGTCAAAGAAAATGCTAAATTCTGTGGAGTTGATTAAATAAAGTAAAAAAAATATTAAATTTGGTGTTTTGTAACTAATTTAGGTGGGAAAATGAAATAATATAACTTATGCTGCTTATAGTAAAATTAAATGTTGTTGCTCCAAATTATATATATATATATAATTGAAATTATAATTAACTATATCAAACTATTGGTAGAATTACAATTGAGTGATATGACTTATAGAATTGCAGTTTCGAGGTTGGGTGTTTTTATGCATTTTTTTTATCAATATTAAAATTCTTTGAAATCGTAAATTATATTTATATAATCAAAGTTATATTATTAGTGAATATATTTTTTAAGAAACATATATTACACATAAGTAAGTCTTAAGGCTATGAATTACTTTTGAGGAACTTCACTTTTAAGTTTTAACACTCATATAAGTTACTCTTAAATTAGTGCATGATTTGAGCAACCTCACTTTTAAGGTAGTATTTGTTAAGTGCTTATTATATGTTTTTTTATTAAAAAATTCTAATTTATTTTTTCCTAATTGTTTGAGGAGTGATAAATGTGTAAGAGGAGGTGCTGGAATGTAATTTTTAATTGCAATTTTCTATCTATAATTTAGTTGTATTTTTTGTTATTTATTTTCTTTTGGCATTTATAAAAAAGACAAAAATTCATTTTTGGTCCGTTAGCTTGTCCACTGTCCAGTTTTGGTCCGTTAATTTGTCCTCATCAAAATTGGTCTATTATGTTGCACTTTTCATCACTTTTGGTACACTAATCCCGTGGGCCGGGATTAGGAGATGATGTGGACGGATATTCGGACTACGTGGAGGGATTGGATTTTGAAGTGGAAGGATAACAACCTGATCTTTGTTACGTGGCGTTTTAACATGGCAACCTCATATTTTTTTATATATACTTTTTAATTTTTTAGAAATCGTATTTTAGAAATCGTAAAAAACTACTGAAATAGTGTAACTTTTATATACAAAAACCGAAACCCTCATTCCAGAATCCTTAAATTCAAAATCAAAAATCCCTAAATTGAGAATCGAAAATCCCTCAATTTTTTCCCGAAACCCCCGATTACTAAATGAAACGAGGACGCCCGAAATCCAAACCTGCGACTAAAATGCCACCAGGAGATGAAGATTTGGGAGTGTTTCAGAAGGTTGTTCTTGGAATCGATGTTCCTACCTGCAAGATGAAGTTGCGAGCAAAAGAATTGAACATATACCCCCTCCTATATACGGTAATTTTTATTAGTTTTTTCAGAATTAAAGTTAAAGTTTTTTAAAAGTAGGGTTTAGTAGAAGTGAAATTCCCAAATTAGGGTTTAATTTGTGAAATTAGAGTTTACATTTGGTACAATTTAGGGTTTTCATGTGGTCCCTATTTTTGAGAATGTTTCACTCATTTTTACATTGGTTTT